GGTCACATGGGTCAGTTCCTACATGCTTACTGCAGGAGGTTTACATCCTGTTTTAAAACCTACATTTCTTCAAGTGCTTAATTTTCAGGTGTGCAATGCACTGCCTTAACTTGAAGGTTAAAAAACCCGGACAAAGACACACTTCACTCAGCTCAGAGCGAACATGAGACAATCCACAGCAGCCGACCTGCAAAATATGTGGACATTAACTACTTGACCTGACCTGCAACACTAAAGTGACACTTGTTATTCTACAATTTCATTTCATCCACTTCTCCTCCGTTTCACCCACTCCAGCGATCACCTTGAAGCTGAATGCAGCAGATTGAGTTTATTCGTTCAGGGTTTTCTCCTTCTCTCTCTCAGTAAATGACAAGCAGGGTCATATAAGTTATTTGACCATAAATTATATATAATGGCAGCATCTGAGCGCAGTGAGGTTAATTTTCTGACCTGCTCCACCTACAGGTTACATCAGGTCACTTTATAATTAGTTAATGCCTGGCTATAAGAAAACCCTCTGCTGTGTGTGGGGTTTACACATGACGAGAAGGAAGAAAGACTGGATGAGTAATCCCAGCATGGCTTAGTGGATCACTGTGTTTTACGTTTTTAGTCAGACCCATGTTTTTTTTTTCTTTTTAAGGTTACCCAAACACAAGTTACAGACTGACCTGCACGCTAACAATATAGAGACTGTTGTACCTGTGACTCTCTGAGGGCTCCTCTCTTGTTTCTCTCCACAGCGCCGTCCAGTGAATCTCTAAAACCTGACAGTAAGCAAAGGAAATGTTAGATTATTCCTGTGTGTGTGAGTGTGCGTGTACTTTTCCAAATATGATTTCCTACCTGGCGAGGTCCTGTTTTGATAAAGTACTGGGCCAGCTCCAGGGCTGCCAGAGCATCCTCAGTTGGATGATGACCCAACATATCTTCTGTTTGTATTTTCCTCCTGAGATACGAGTGGAAAATTAGGTTATCGATCACAGTGGGACAGAAATATTTAGAGATAGGACGAGAACTCACTTCAGTATGATCCCAGTCAGAACCTTGAGCTTAAACCTTCGCCCACACTCCCTCTTGTACAGCAGTGACGTGTCAATTACATGCTTGTGGATGAGCTGCGGGGCGGGCACAGACGCAACATGGTTTACAGCTCATGTTAATGAAACTGAAGTATTTCTTTTAAGATATTTTCTCTGAAATTACAGGACATGATTACTGCTGGAATAAAGTACTACTTCAGCCGAGTAAAGATGATCGTGCTCTAACATTTCTGATAAATGTTAAAAAGCTGCCAATAAACTGCACACAGTGTTTTGTTTTAATAATTTTTTTTGTGAGCCATGACTTCATCAGAAGGTTTGAAAGAAATCACTCACTTTCAAAGCTATGAGGTCATGTTCAAGAGAATGGCCAACCAGAACTGCCTCATGTGGCAAAATCCTAATAAGCATTCCTTGAACATCCTGCAGAGTCGTTGTTACTGGTTGCAACATCACAGGTGTGATACCAGAGAATCTATCAGGAGATACGAGCAGTGTTGGAGAAAGAATTTCAGACAGAACAATGAATATGTTTCTATAAGATGTAACATATGACACTGACTGACACAGATTCCTGTACAAACATAATGTGACTGTTAACAATTTATTAAAACTCGAGACCATAAAAAAGTGTGTGTACTTGGTACAGTAGTTGAGAATGTGGTTCGGAGGTTTCACCAGCTCATCCATTAAACACTTCCCATCACCGTCCACCAGAGAAACACGAGTTAGCTCTTTTCCATCTTTTGTTACACACTGAAACATAAAATAAACATAACAGTGAGTGAATGCAAAAACTCAATCATACTAAAAATTGCAGGAAAAAAGCTACAAATCGATGTTATGGATGTAACCTTTTGTGCTGCAGCTGTTATCATAGGCATAGTCAATGAGATGCTAACACAGGCATGTGAGTGGAAGCTTCCTATTTACAGAGGCACGCTGCCCTGCTGGGAAACACTGGGCAAAGAAATGGACATAGTGCTACAGTTTTGTTTGTTTGTTTGTTTTTAATCTGGGATCTGGTTTTCAAAAGTGTTGGGTAAGTCAAAAATCAGCCACACAATATAGTGCCATACAGGTTAGCTGTCAGCTGCACCACTGTGATGCCACCTGATTCCATCGTGGAAAATGGGAAGTGACAAAATATTTTAGTCTCTCACCATTTCACAGTCGATTCCAAAGAGGGGGCTGCTGTCAGTCACACAGTCAGCGCAGTTTGTACACACAAATTCCTCAAAGCCGGGCATTCCTGTTTGAAAACAAATAAACCAACAGGTGAGGAGGAGACACTGAGCCCACACAACACCATACCACTCATATTCAAGGTCAAAGCTCAAAGTAAATCTCGCCACTCAGCACTCATGTTGAAATGCCCCAGGTCGGCTTATTTTATTTTTCCATCTAATATTTGGTAATTTTGTCACAAGATATAGTTTTAAAAACATCAGATTACTGTTTTAACACACTAAACCCCAAATGGGCCCTGATCCTTCAGAGATCAGTGGTCAGAAGCACAGAATAAAGCTCTGTATGAATGGGTTGCTACGGCTTGTAGTAAAAAGCACCTTGGGTTGTCAGTCAGAGTAGAAAAGAGTTAGATAGAAACAAGAAGAAGCCAAGTGGCAATTAAAAAAAGGATGGAAAACAGAAACAATTGTGATTGATCCCAGTATGAACATCTATTTTTTTTTTTTTCCTTTTTGTTGGATGGCCATGACAACGTTAAAAAAAATGCATGGACAGAAAAAAGATCCCTCTCATCTCTTATTTCATGATTTTTTTTTATTACCAAATGTAACTCTTAGTTGACACAATATTACAAAGAGAAAAATTCTTACCTTTAACAGGGTAGTTATTCTTGATCATCTCCTCCTCTGTGAGAACATATGCTGTTAGTCCTCTCCTCTCGGTCCCAAACATAGTGATGATTGGGTGGTTCTTCATCGCTGCACCAGTGCACAGAAAAAGTGAACACAGGTACAGAGAAGAGCAAAAACATTAAATGAAAACTCAAAAACACCAGAGAGATCGAATATTCTTCACTAAATGTTACAGTATAATAATATGATGAATATTAATAAGAAAAGATAATAGGAGCAGAACTACTAAATTAATCCATCATCCATTACAGGATTCTCACCTTCCTGCAGTTCCTCATCTGGTTTGGAGACAGACAAACCGTCCTGTTTGGGAACTTGACTGGACAAGATTCCAGATACTACATCTACAGATGATGGCGTGAAGGTGACCCTCTAAAAAAAGTGAGATTTATTTATGTTTTTGCTAAAGTGCTACAAATATGACTTCACTCATAAATAATTTGATTTGCTGTGTTTATTTTCCCTCTTACAGAAGTGTAGCTGGTCCTGAGGTGCTGCAGACAGAGGTAGTGTTTGTAAAAGTGATTCTGTGTCAGGTCCTCCACAATCACAACATTTACACCTGTAACCTTTCTGTGATGGCGGAGACGGCACCAACTAGTAGACAGAAAAAACACATTTTAAATTATTATTAATATTATGTGAGTATAACGGCACAGTATGAGTTACTGAGGACTCTTTGACACCAGCTGATGGGGTAGATAACACATTAGTACAGCAGCTGTTACCTGGGCTTTTTGATGCCACCTGTTTTCCCGAGAGCAGCATACTGCAGCAGCTCTGTCAGTTCATTCAGGCCGATCGGTTGCTGAAGGCAGTCAGGCAATACCGAAACCCTTGGCAAGCAAGAGGCAGGTCCACACTGCAGCACCTCATCATCTCGCTGTTCAGTTTTGAATCTCTTAGCCTCCTCCTGAGCTGTGTGGGTGCTGTTTTTCCTTTTCTTTGCTTTGCACTTTGCAACTGTGGAAGACTCCATGTTCCAGCCAATTATATTTACACTGAAAGGCAAACCAAAAACATATTTCAGTTTGGTTAGAGCCAAGATTTACTGATGCTCCTTTTTAAATGTGCAATGTTCGTGGGTTCAAATGAGTGCAGAGCAATGCAGCCTTGTTCTGTAGAGCTGGAGCTCAAACTTTAGAGTTACTAATATAGCTGTGGGCATTAAAAACAGCTAAGAATCACACGCTGTCAGTGAGCTTTTTCATTTTCATGTTTATTTAATGTGTATTTTAGACAGGCAGCTTTGCGCTAAACCAAAATAAAATACAGAAAGACTATGCTACGTTTACAGCACCATTACCCAGAGCTGGGGAACTGAAAACACAGCGAACATTTGTTATCAACAGAAGCTCAGTTTCACAAATTAAAGTGCTCCTAAATGCTGGTTCAGCGGACGACTTTATTATTCTTCTCTTTCTGGTTAGTTAGTTTATTTATATCAGAGTCACAGTTACACAGGAAATCCCAACCTAGTTGAAATTTTAGTTTAAATCATTTTTGAACTCCGCATGAGATGTATAATAAGGGTAAAATTGTGTAAATACCACACGCCATAGGTCCGGTTTAGTCCAAAATTATATGTTTCTACCAATATCTTCAGTTAGTAACACATGGCTAAAGCATGTATTACTAGTTTTGTCTCGTAAGTGCAAATAAAAACAGGTACTAGCACTACTTCCGGTCTGTAACTTTAAAAATAAAACACGAGTAGCTACGGCTATGTGCATGTAGCAGAATTGTTGTTTATAGATTAGCATTTTCTAGTTAGTTTTTAATTTTTATTTCATTTTGACTTTTGTTTGAAATTGAGCTTGATTTCAGTTAGTTTCCAGGCTGAATTTTCTTTGTTTTAATTTAGTTATTGTTTTTTAATGTTTAGATTTATTTGTTTGTTTATTTGTTAATGGTTTCAGTGTTATTTTTCACAATTTTTTCAATTATTATTGTATGAAGCGCATATTTCAGGGGCAAGCTTCAGGAAAATCCGCAAAGTTACTACAATAAAAACACAGCACTTTTTAAAAGCAGCTGGCTCACAGTCATGCAGATAACCGGAATCTCAGTATACACGACGTCAGTGCCTCATCAAGCATGTTGTAATAAAGTTTTTACCAAACAGATACTAAAACAGGATAGTTCATCTATAGTTTTTATTCTTTTTGTTTTAAACAGTTTTCGAGTTCACAAAACCGTTTCTGATAGTTTAATTCGACGTTTTTTAGTCGTTTTTATTTTTGTTTAAGTTTTTACAAAAGTGGAGTATTTTTCACACATCTAGTCTTAGTTTCTGTTCAGTTTTTTTGTTAACTATATAACAACCGAGGTGCTTTGAGTGTTAAGAGGTCTTTTATTTTGATAGGAGACGGCATCAGAAGCTCGACTATTTTTGAATCTACAGTGATGCCTGCCGACTTGCAGGCTTAAATAATCAAGCTCGGAGCTACAGATGACGTTTTGAAAGAAACAGCGCGAATTCCCCGAGTTTTCAATTAATGGCCAAAGTCAAGCTCCTGCTATAGTTCACAGCTTCTCATAGAAAGACGGTCGCAGAAACACCACCGTGGCAAAATTAAATAACAGCTATGACCACAAAGAAATTGGCGAAGTAAGTAAAATTAGCCTGTTTGCTGGCTTATCTGCTAACCTAAACAAACTGAACAAAGGAACGTGTTTTGAAAGCAACAAATAAGTTTATGTCGATAACAAGTTACGTTTTTCAATATTGTTTTAGATAAATACTATAAGTACATCTGCGAGGACAGCGTATTCAGTTAAAAGTAGAATTGTGGTTCACTGTAACTTTAAATACAGGTCAGGGGTTGTTACGATATACACACTATTTTATCTTCGTCCCTTCGCAGGGAATTAGGATTGTTGAGACAGCGGAGCAAGTCCTCTGTGTCGAAAAAATCTGTGGTATCAAGTGAGTATGCCACGTTCAAATCGGATTTGTTTGACAGTTAATTTTTTTAACACTGGATCATGGCTGTGAAAACTGTCTGGTTCTTTCAGATCAAATATTTTCTTATCTGATTGTGATCGACTTTGAGTCCACTTGCTGGAGAGAGAAAAACAACCGTAGCCAAGAAATTAGTAAGGAGCAGATTTAACATTCACAGTTTACATCCGGGTGATGTCCTTACTGTTTTAACACCGGCCCATCTTTTCTTTCTTCCTCCCTGCAGTTGAGTTTCCTGCTGTTCTGCTGAACACGTCCACGGGGGAGGTGGAGTCTGAATTTCACACTTATGTTCAACCCCAGGAGCACCCCATCCTGTCTGACTTCTGTACTGAGCTGACTGGGATTACACAGGTGTCTGCAGCATACACGTTTAAAAATGCCAGCATGCTCTGTGTTACATTACAACCAACTTTTATTTCTCTCTCGTACAGATGCAGGTTGAAGCAGGGATCCCGCTACAGATCTGTCTCTCGCGGTTCAGCCGTTGGCTCCAAAATCTTCAGCTCGAAATGGGAGTGGCCTTTGCCAACAAAGACCAGAGATGTTCGGAACCGTCTCAAAAGCTGTGTACTTTCCTCACGTGGTCAGGTAAAAGTTCTCAGTATATTGGTCTACACATCTGTAAGCTCAGCATTGCTATGAATTGACATTCGTGAACCACGGGGGTCTCAATTGTATTTTTAAACTAGCTATAGAGAACCATTAAATCTGCTCATTTACTGCAGTTCTTAAGACTATTTAAGGTATTAAATGGTATAAAATGAGCAAAAGTGCACTGAAATTTGTGTTCTTTGGTCTCCGCTGGGTGTCAGACTGGGATCTTGGAGTTTGTCTGCAGTACGAGTGTAAACGCAAACAGCTTCATAAACCTGATGTTCTCAACAGCTGGATAGACCTGAGAAGCACATACCGGGTAAGAGTTTCGTAGGTGTCTTTGTTTATTGTATGTTTTATTTAAGCATAAAATGTTTAAAGGGGTGTCAGTTTTAAGGTAAAAGCACAAAGACTAGAATACAGATTTAAGTGAGTCCAAAAAGGCATAACTTATGGTAATTACAGTAATGTGAAATTAAGTAAACTGAGTAAAAGGAGTACATATTTTTATTAAGATGTAAGATGTCACAGACTGTGTAATTGAGCTGATTTACTCTAATTACCTCTGCTCATGTGGTTGTTTCTCTAACTTCTTTTTGTTTTTCCAGCTTTTTTACAACAGGAAACCCAAAGGCCTGAATGGAGCTCTTCAGGATCTCGGAATACAGTTTTCGGGCAGAGAACATTCTGGTATGTGACCAAGTGTAGATAATTCTGTATTGCACACGGCCATCAACCTAACGGCCTAACCCTTCTTTGTTTTCTCTCTCAGGTTTAGATGATGCCCGAAACACAGCTCAGCTGGCAGCAAGAATGATGAGGGATGGGTGCATAATGAAGGTTACTAGGAGCCTGGAGAGTGTGAGTGGCCGGCCGATGTCGCCCTTAACAAACCCCAACTCTGGAAATCCCAGCATCCCTCATCATCTTCCAAATTTAAAAGCTCTGTGAAGATAATAATATTAAGGAAATTTGCTCTGTGCAAAAACACTTTGATTGTGGACATTTTTTTTAAAAATGTTGTTCTGATTTAGATTTTATTTATTAATAAAATTATATCTTTAAGTTTGTATTTTGTGTGCTTGGAGAGAAGACAACATTAGAACTAAGTATACTATATTGCCAAAGGTGTTCACTCATCTGCCTTCACACACATATGAACTTTAGTGACGTCCCATTTTTAATCCAAAGAGGTTTATGTCAGTTCACCCTTTGTAGCTGTGATAGCTTCAGCTCTTCTGGGAAAACTTTCCACTGGGTTTAGGACTGTTTATGGGAATTTCTGACCGTTGTCTGGAATCACATTTGTAAGGTCAGACACTGATGTTGGATGAGAAGGCCTGGCTCAGAGTTTCTACACTAACTTATCCCAAAGGTGTTCTATTGGGTTCAGGTCAGGACTCTGTGCAGGCCATTCTTTCACACCTGCATCCATGGAAATAACTGGAAAACCTGAGTTTGGAAACCCAATTATTTTTCTGGCTGAGGGAATGCTTTGGGCAATATAGTTTATGTAACTCGGAAGAAGTGCTTCCAGAGTTAATTTGATAGTTAATGGGTTGTACCATTCAGATACTGATTTAAAATCTTCTCTATGTCCTGTAGACCCCAGTGATGGCCAAACCAGTGTTTGGAAACACTGCCTGTCCTGCAGACAAGAAAGAAAAACCTAACGAGAATAAAAAGGAAAATACAGTCATCCGTAGCAAACACTCATCATTTAAAATTCCCCTCAAAGCTTGTCAAAAACAACCATGTCCCGAGGAGATTGCTCAGAACTTTGCCATAAAGAAAAACCCAAGCTCCATTCACGAATCTGCTCAAATCTGTCAAAGTCTGATCTCACCAAAGACTCTTCTGAACAGCACGACGGTGCCACTGTTGAGGCACGGCAGGAAATCAGTCACAGCAGAGGCTGCCCCTAGCCTTTCCACCTCAGTTGTTACAAACTGTGTTTCTCCCCAGAATAACAATAGCAGTCTTATTCTGTGTTCCACTACCGTGAGCTGCTTTTCAAATCTGTCTCCACCAAACTGGGCCTCAAAAACAGAAGCAATGCTTGGATCCACAGAGAAAGAGGAGGGTGCGGAGCTTTTAGTGGAAACTGAGGAGAGGTGTGGCTCATATGACGACGTGGTGTTGGAGGGTGATGTTAATGAAGCAAATGATGAATGTGATGCAGAGTACATATCTGAGTTTGATAGTGGATCTTATGATTGGTTAGAGCAGCATACTTCACATTCAGCAGGAAGTCGGCTCACTTTGAAGGATGATATGAGAGAATCAACTGGAAAGAGCTCTAAAATGCAAAAGATTACCACAGATTCTACCAGTAAAGGTCAAAAATCTCATTGTTGTATCTTAACAGAAACGAACAACAGAACAACAACAGAAATGATGCATTCAGTGACCTCAGATATTTATTTTGCTCTGCCTAAAACTGTTAACATTGGTAAATCAAATCAGTGCAACACAGGACTTAGAACCTCCCTCCAACTTCACAAAACATCTTATGTTCCCACTAAGAACTGTTCAATTAGGCCTAATCCTTTTGTCCCAGAAAAAACCTCCACCCCCAACACGTCCTTTGCCCGGCCCAAACCCGCCATCACACAAATCCCAAAACATAAAGACACTCTGAGATCCTCCTTTACCATCTACACCGAGCCGACCAAACAAGCTACAGCTCCCTTGCGTCCTTCCTCACACGGCAGTGTCCTCTCCTCTTTGTCAACCAACGCTCTCTCCTCTCGTGCCGACCGTTCCATCATTTCTGTGAGAGGAGCTCAGAAGATCACTTCTCCACTGTGCGCGTGCGGCCGTCGTGCAAAGTGTCAGGTTGTGTCAAACGGCGGTCCAAACCACGGTCGAGGGTTTTATTGCTGCCCAGTCCGCCGATCAGGCAGCGGAGGACGGATGGAGAAAGGGTGCGAGTTTTTTAAGTGGGAGTCGGCCGTGATGAAGAGCGCATCAGCGGCCACTCCTGCTGTCGGATCCTCTGTTTCACTCTGTCAGCTCAACTCCACTGTGTCCCATCGTCCAACCCACACGCCACTGCTAAGGAAAAGCTACTGAAATCCTCCATCATACATTAGTGTTATTGGTGGAAAGGCTAGTATTATGGCATCAATGCTCAAAGATGGTTAATCGTGCAAAATCAATCGGTTGACAGTTTGAAATGTTTCATTCAGTTAATTCTACTTCTGTTTATAAATCACCGATGACACGAACTGATTTATTTCTTGATCAATGTCCTCTTGACATTTAAATCCCCTCTGAAGGGACGCCGTATTTATTCCACTGGCTCTTATTTCAGAGCTCTCCTTTCATGAATTAAACACTTGTCAAATTACAGCGTTTAACTGGCATCATAAATACTGAAATTATTGATTTGATAATTGGGAAAGAAAAAGTTTCTTTATCTGTTTCAAGTCACTGCAAATTAAGTAGTTTAAAGACTTGGGTGCTTTATTCACCCATTCCCAAGGTCAAGAGTGCTGCAGCCCAGCAGCTTCACTCTAATCAAAACACAAGAGTAGGTGATGCACTTCCTTGAAAATTTTATTCAAAGATGCAAACAACACAGACTATAAATCGCTAACGCTACACAGTCATATGCAAAGTGTTATGGCCAATGTATGACCCACCTGTCCCTGGGGCACAAGAGCAGTAAGCTTATCTCAGAGTAATGAGTAATATCACAAACTAACCACCTCTGATTACCAGTTTTAATTAACTCTTTATATAAATATAGGCATTTATATACATTTGTAACTTTACATACTTGTTAATAATTTTAAACTGAATTTCTGTTATCACTGTGGTCCACCTGGAGAACCTTTGAGACACACCAGGGGGCCCTGGCCCACATGTGGGAAACACTGGATTCATTCATTACTGCAGTGATCAATAACTGGGGCCACTCAAAAGAGAAAATAATTTATTATTATGTTGTTTATATTAAATATATTTTTACATTTGAATCAAGGATCCATGAAATTCTTTTATAATAATAAAGTTGATGATATTTGTCTGCAGGTAGAGAGGAACCATGATCTTTAACAGAGTATAGAAAGTATTGACCACCAGAGGGCAACTTCTCTGTTGGTGTTTAGAATATCACAAAAACAACTAGCTGGTATAAGCAGAGTGTGGAAAAAGTAACTACATATAACAAATGTTAGGGAATTCTGCTTGTATTGCATTTTTGAAATAAATATCAGCTAATGTATCAGAATATTGGCTTTTTATATCGCTAAATATTGGTAGAAGCATTGGTCCTAAAAATCGGTCAGGTCATGTTTGAATCTGTAGGAGCCAGAACACAGGCTGAGTTTTAGCAGCTCAAATAATTCACTCAATGACAAGCAATTCAGTGTATAAATGTCATGTAATTAGTTTGGTTAAAATTCTGTCTCTCTCCATTAATATGAAAATATTATTAAAAATGTGAGACTGTTCATTTCTTTGTAAGCTAGCAAACTTACAGATTCACCTGGGGTTGAAATAATTATTTCCTCAACTATTTCCACTGTGACATAACCTAATGGTTACAGATGGTCCCAGTTTGAAGTTTAAGCTTCCAGTTGAGTGTTGCCACCACTACAAAAAATCAGATGTGACAAGGAAAGGCGGGTCTGACTGTCAAACCACACACTGGCTAATGACTTCTGACTGACAGCTCATTAGGTAATAATAATGTGGTTTTCAAGATAATCCCGTGACCAAAATTTAAAAAAAAAAAAAAACGACTTTATTTATTCAATGTGTTCCAAAATGAGTGACTGAGCCCATAAACTCGAGGGGTCGTGTCATGGTGATTTTTCCATAGACTTCAATAGGGCTGGATGACTTTTTGGAACCACAGGCATCGACTTCTAGTGGCTTTCAGATAGTGTTCAGGGTTTTTTTTTATACTATCACATAATCTACATGCATGCTTTCTACCATCTATGGTTGTACTGTTGGCTAAAAGAAATCAGTAACTCTTGTGTAACATTGTCTGTGAAATTGAGTTATTTGTAAACACTGATTCCTGATATAAATTAAATGGGTGGAAACTATTTAACACTTATTTATTCAGGATGTACTTTAGCATTGTTTTGGAATGAT